GCAAGCTGATCTACAGTAGATTTGCGCCCTTGTTCTTAACATTTCACCATTTCTGGCAGATTTTCTAATATGAAGTAATGTGGAATACCTACTTACAAAAAGTGATGGAAAGAAAACGAAAAGACTCTAAATGAATTCGGACGATATATATATATATATATATATATATATATATATATATATATATGATTGTTTGGGTCAAATATTTTGTAAAGGATCAGATTCGAGAAATTCTAAGAAGATACATGGCATCAATCTACTTAAAGGCAGATCTAATATCACAGTGTGGAATACCTACTTACAAAAGTGATGGAAAGAAAACGAAAAAGACTCTAAATGAATTAGGCTTGAAACAAAAAAGAAAATTCCCAACAGCCCTTTACCAACATAACAGATTTTGTCCGATGAACTCCTAAAGGACGAAATGCATTTCAAGTAAACTTTTCCCACTTCATCATAAATTTCGCCATATATATGTGAAGAGTAAGACGTCTTGATAATGTTGAGTTGAAAAGCATTGACGCATCCTTGTGGGCGATGAACTGTTTTCCACCCTACAACCTCTTTCCCCACAAACAAACTTTGCTAGCCTTTCGCTACTCCATCGCTATTTTCATAGCAAATGTTCAGGGGAGCTAACTTCTGTAGCTGCACCATTTCTAGCATTCACAACAAGAACTCACCATGTCATGTACACAGGCTTAAATTGTCCCCATTTCCCTTCGTATTCCATTGGTAAGGAAGAAGTTCCACCCAGAAAATTTCTTCCCAAGAACTATTACTTTGTAGAACTGACTGCAGAGAAGATGATTTCTCGGTTACTACAATCTTAACCTCTTCAAGTCGAGGGTCAACTGTTATATATTCTACATATCCACATAAAATTCCTTACCTTTACGCTCGTGCAGCAACTTTATTCGGGAACTCTCTATCTTGAGTGGCTCTTGGGCCTTGTTTTGGATAAACAATAGTATGATTTATTAGTCACTTTTAAGAAGAATTACAGTTAGCGAGCAGCTATCACATGCTATAATTATGGTTTAGTGAAATGTTATGGAAAAGAGTTAGTGTGGCTCCTGCATTTGTATCCGCCTTACGATTACAAAAGTCAAAGGGATGATATCTATCTATCTATCTATCTATCTATCTATGTCTGTTCAGTATCTATCTATCTATCTATCTATCTATCTATCTATCTATCTATCTATCTATCTATCTGTGTCTGTTCAGTATCTATCTATCTATCTATCTATCTATCTATCTATCTATCTATCTATCTATCTATCATTACGAGACGCGCAAGGCACCGTTGAAGGTGGACGTAGGAAAGGATGTCAACGTATAAACAGGTAGGAGAATGTGAAACAATGGACAGGTATGACTGTAACAGAATTGCTGATGGCTGCCGTTGATAGACCGGTGTGGAAAAGAATTAGTGTGACTCCTGCATTTGGATCCCCCCCCTACAACTACAAAAGTCAGGATGATGATGATGATGATGATGATGATGATGATGATGATGAAATCTTATATTTATAGCATTGTGTTAGTTAATCTTTGTGCCTTGCGTAACGCATAATCCACAGAAAAATTCTCTAGTCTGCTGAATTCAGTTAAATGCCTCTTGATACAAAAATCTTTGTCTACATTCTTACCGTTCCGATTTCATTCATTCGCAAACATCATTTGCCATTACCCTAATTACTCTACCTTGAGTGGTTCTCGAGACCTGTATTAGGTGAACCTTAGAATTAACAAACCTTGTATGCTAGCGAAACTTTTGGAGAGAGGAAACCGGAAAACAATAAAACAAACATTCTCCTTGTATAGGGCGCGACAAAAATACCTCCCACATATACATTCCAGAAATACCTCGATGAAAATAGCATTACCACTTACCGTTATGTGGAAGATATTTCTGCCGCGCTCTGTAAGGTTGAACCTTCATTTGCCACCATTATGGCAGTTTCACCAATACTTATTCAGTTCACTCCTCTCCATCTCACAGTGGTTAACGGCGATATCCAAAGTAGAATTATTCAATCACTTGTCGGTTTCTGTAGCACCGTGGATGTTGAGGTTAACCTGTCCCTCCTCTCTGAAGTTAAAGAGAGGTGGACTGATTTCAGATTTTCCTTCTCCTAGACTGGTTGGTAAGAAAGACTATGGGGCCTACTCTTCTCTGTTATTTACCCATAGCTGGAGGAAAGAGATGGATCCATACCTTTACCAAGGATATTATCACGAAAGTGAATGCAATGAACCCGACTGGAATTTGAACTCGACTCTCCGATTCCTCAATTCGCGTCGCTGTCAAGTACGCCATCGTTTATATCATTGTTCCCATCAGCCATCAGTGGGATTACACAGCATTCTGGATCTTTGGGCGTGAAGCAGAAGGCAAAGTCATCTGGAATTTTATATACCTCTAAAATGACAGCCATTAAAGCGGTATCGTCTTCTAAATTAACATCTTCGCCGCGGTCTGATCTGACGTCAGTCAAACAATTACGGCTTCCGTTTACTCAAACCACTGCTGCCACAATCAGCGATTATTATCACATCACTTGTCCCAACTGTAATTAGGAATGGCAGATAAAGGAATTTGGATGCAGACAGAAGAGTAATTAAATAAAGAAATTAAACGAATATTCATGGTCTTCTGAATGAGGAAAATTAAAGGTTTACATTTCAGTTTAGGATGCTAAAGTATATTTAAACATATTCACTTCTATATGACTCCAATATGCTTCTAATGGCATACTACGCATTGCCTCTGGCGTACATATTCGTTCGATTTTTTTTTAAGTTTAATGTAATATAAATTAAGGTGGCTATAAGATCCACATTTTCCCAGACATATTCTCTACTTAAGATTCGAAGTCACCGTCACGATTTCTCTCTCTCTCTCTCTCTCTCTCTCTCTCTCTCTCTCTCTATATATATATATATATATATATATATATATATATACCTATCTCTAAGTGTGTGTGTTTGTATGTTTGTATGTGTGTGTACTCTGTGACTTCAACTGTAAGAAAAGATTACAAATCATAAAATGTCTTTGAATGTGTAAGATCATTTTTGTCTTTACAAATCATGGAAGCCCTTTATATCAAAAGAAACTACTCAACTTTTAAAAGACCATTTTTCCTATGTGATATTTCACATTAATAGCATGAAAATCGATGTTGCTTGAAAACTTTGAGCCATAAACGCTTTACTGGCTATCTATCGACGTTTTAACTTACATAATTGAAAACAACCAAGATGGTCGAACATACTCTAAACATAACATAATTTTATTAAATTCTTTTGGAAAATTCCACTTAAAACGATCTTCTGTTATTTCTCCCTATAATTTTCAAAATTTCCTTTGCATGTACTATTGCTTCATATACTACGTTATTTTATAGGCAGTTATCATTTAGTGGGCATTTTGTACATTATTCTACAAGTACAGATGAGAGTTATTACATTTATATTTTTGTCACAAGAATCTATTATATTATAATTACTTTTACTCCATTGTATTACTAGAGGTTTTTACTAGAACACTCTGTATTGATATGGGATTATAATTACTATTATTTCATTACTAGTTTTAAACCATTTTTCTATTGTTTTTAGTAACATTTTCCATTGATATATTCTTATTATTGTTATTATTTATTGCTAGTTTTATTCTATCTTATTGTTGCTTTTTATTCCAACACTCTGACTGAATACACTCTTCATTATTACTATTTTATTACGAGTTTTACTCCATCTTATTATTGTTCTTTTATCCCAACGTTGTGCATCAATACTGTTGAGGGGTCCACCCCTTTTTATACAAATGAACTCACCCAGTATATAAATATACTACTGCAAGAGTAAGGCGAGAGGAAGACAGACCAAGACCGAAGAGTCGAGTCCAGAGTGACAGAGTAAAAGGTTGTAGGTCACCGGAAGAGTGACGGTGAGATAACAGCGTTGTAGGAGTCACAGTGGGCGAGAACATAGACTCAGCAAGAAGTCATACAGCGATATATTCAATACCGAAAGATATGTATATATATATATATATATATATATATATATATTGCTTCTAACACGTATTCTTGGAACTATTAACCTGCTTTACCAGTTTGTATTATTACGTTAATACATTATTTTCATATATTCATTTCCTGGCGTTTGTTATTTATTGGTACCGGATTTCAACCCGGAATCCACAACAGATATATTCTTCATTATTACTATTTATTTATTCGGTTTGTTCTATCTTAAAACTGCTTTTTAAATCACATTCTGATTTTCTGTAACCTTAATTATAACCATTGCTTTCTCTTTATTTTTCTTCCCCTTCCGTGTCTTTTCTTTCCTTATTTTCAGTAAATTACTGTAAAATCAATCAATTTGCCGTGACGGAAAATACTGCCGAGAAATTGAGTGTAGTCTTAATAGAAAAAATGACGAAGATTATTTTTTTTTCCACTTACTGCCGACAAATCTTTTCTTTTTACCCTATCCTTCTTCCGATAATCCTCGAAGATCTCTTGTTATTAAAACAGCCATTTTGCCTCTCTTCATCGGTCTTAGCTTTTGTCCATTGCGCGCGAAAATGAGGCAGATAAATAAACGCCATATTTTAAAGCGTTAACGCGAGGAGAAAAAAGAAAAAATCCCCAAAAAAAAAAAAAATCACCAAGGAGAGTGACCAAAATGAATGTATCTGAAATAAATTAGACCAAAAGAGAATTTGTAAATCCCTGGAAATCAGTCCTAAAAATCGACGAACGCAAAAAAAAAAAAAAAAAAAAAAAAAAATAAAACTGATAACCATTAATAATAATAATAATAAAAATAAAAAAAAACGCAATATAAGTTGGTATAAAAATATCTATCAGGATATTACGAAAAAAAAATTCTTTAAGAGGTTTTAGGGTTTGTTGCGATATCTGCTAAGTCATTTGTCTCAACCCTATCGTATAAGACTCCCAGATTTTTATCCGGCGTATGGTCATATCACGTTGAAACACCGGATCTCGTACAATCACCAAAGTTAAGCAACGTCGAGTCTGTTTGGTACCTAGATGGGTAACCACTTGTGAATACTGTAAGCTGTAAGAGTGACCAAAATGAATGTATCTGAAATAAATTAGACCAAAAGAGAATTTGTAAATCCATGGAAATCAGTCCTAAAAATCGACGCACGCAAAAAAAAAAAAAAAAAAAAAAGAAAGAAAAGAAAGAAGCAATAAAACTGATAACCATGAATAATAATAATAATAATAATAAAACGCAATGTAAGCAACGTCGAGTCTGTTTAGTACCTAGATGGGTAACCACTTGTGAATACTGTAAGCTTCGATGTGCGGGTGGTGTACTACGATAACGGCTTTTAATCGGAAATCGGGGAGCTGAGTTTCAAATCCAGTCGGGTTCGTTATAAACCATTACTTCGTTATTATCACTTATGCGAAAGGCATGAATCGACCTCTTCCCCCTCAGCTATGGGTCAATTAATAGGACTGATATCAGTAAATCTTTATTATCTTCCCCCAAATTCTTACAATCTAAAATTATTTTCTGACTTTAAATAACCTGGAAAAGGTTGATAAACCGTAAAACTATAAATCAAGTCTATCAATAAATCCCAAGGTTTATCCCTGGAAACACAGGACAAATAATTCAATTTGTCATCTATATCAAAAGCATAAAACGATCTTAAGACGTACATGCTGTGTACATAGTAATTGTAGAATCTAAGATCGACCTTAAGCCTGTAGAAATTCTACAATTATATTAAAAATAAACAAGTTATTTATTATTAATAAAATTTAGGTGAGAGCCATGATCATTACGCCTTTGATGATAATCTTTTTAAAGACATATCCCTTGAACAACGGACTGTATTAGCGCGTGTCTAGTCGATGCCGAGTAGGAGGGAGCAGACGCGAGCAACTAAGCTTAAGGTGTGAGTCTGAGTGGAGCTGAGGATTAAATCTGTGCACATTTTGATTAAATTTAAACCGATCATAACTTGGATTACGAGCAAACGTCGACCAGTTCTGAAACCCGAGAGTCTCTACTTTCAGATTAAATGTGGTTCATATCACCTGGTAAATGTTCCAAAAAATTCAAAATGTCTGCATGCGATTCAACGTTTCTGTTGACTTCATATTTTCTGATTCAGAAAACTCAGACAAACATCTCTGTAAGTATCATTTAATAAACCCGGAACTCTCTCCCTTTGGATAGGCTTTTCATACATTTAATTTGTTAAATCATACTTAATAAATTAAATTTTCTCGGGAAAGTGGTGGCCTGACTGTCTTGGAATTTCCTATTTCAATATCAACAGAGCTGAAATCGAGGGAATTTATATCGGAAGAAAAAAAATATAGAACACAAATAATATGCAATATTAAAGGCGGTATACAATCTAGATTGAAATGACGTCGAGTCCTAACAGACCCTTCCTCTGTTTGCAGGGGGGGGCTGTCTTGATCGAACGTAAATTGTTTTCAACACCTTCAACTGAAAAAGCGAACGAGCACGACTTAACATCGTAAAAGACTCCGTGCTGAAGTTGACGGAACAATTTGGGCTTTTAATGAAGTTCTCTGTAATGGTGTTATAAACTCCGTCTTTCTTCCGGTGGTTGGAATGTCGAACTGAACCCTTTATTTCGCTCACTGAGGGAGACTGTTCTAGTTCAACATGCCATTTTTAATGGATGTCACTTGTCAGTAATCTCCTGTTAATTACCCTCACCAAGTTCTCCACTGCCTTAACCGAGTATTGAACTCACACTCTGAGATGTTGGGAGTGTTCCTGCGTGTGTGTATTCAAATAAAGACAGATGTAGGGAAAAATACTGGTATATTTGAAGAGGTATTTAACAACAGAGTGATTAGTAATAACGACCGCAAGTTAGTAATAACAATTAGCAAGGGTCTACAGTCCAACGGTATCTTCCGGTCGAGAGACGGAAGTGCAATGGTCACCTGATCTCGTGATCTCCTTTACTCTATGGTCTCCCTGAGCTCTCTAGCACTGACCTATATTGTAGAGAGATCAGTCCATTCTCTTGAGAAGGTGGGTGCGCCCCAACACACTCTTTGGGTCCTGTCACTGTCCTCAAGGTCACATGGCACAGTGGATAAAGGCGTTGGTTAGATCCAGTGAGAGGCCCGAAAGAGTGTGATTTCAATACCCGGTTAAGGCAGTGGAGAACTTGGAGAGGGGAATTAACTGAAGATGACTGATAACTGACATCCATTAGGCATACCACGTGGAACTAGAAAAGTCTACCCCAGTGAGCTAAATAAAGGGTTCAGTTCGACATTCCAGCCACCTGAAGAAGGCCGGAGCGTACAACGGCCAAAACGTTGTAATAAATATGGCAACAAAGATGAGCACAATAGTCCGAATAATGTAAATAATTTTATTCATATATAAATTTCAATTAGGATTATTTCAAAAAGGGCATTCAAATATTATTCAGTCACATTTTTAATATTTATATTTCATATCACTTAAGATATATTTAATTTATTTACTAATTGAGTACATATATGGTAATGTTAAAATTAATATTTTAGAATCTAATTATGTATTCATTTGCTAAGAACAATGAATCTCATTGTTCTTTTCTATGATATATATATATATATATATAGTCATCCACAGACTATTTCGCTGTATCACAGCTCTTCAGTGTGGCTAGACGCCCGGTTGCCTCTAGCTAGGATCGAAACCCATCTGAATTGACGTCAGTCGGGGGATTCTGCCACTAAGCCGTTGGCACACGGCAGGGATGAACGTGAATTTAAGCGTATTTATTTTAGATAAACACGCAGTGACTGAAAGAACTCAATTCGATATATATATATATATATATATATATATATATATATATATATATATATATCTCTCGATGTGGTGTAATGGTTAGCAAGCATGTCCCTCTAGAACAATTACAATTGAGTCGTGAATTCGATCCTCACTGGGTGCCCCATACTTTCGACTTTGTGCCACATTTAAGCTACGCTTGGAAAATCACTATATATATATATATATATTGAGGAGAAATGTGTATTCCTTAAAAGTATTCGTACCCTGCCGGAAAGCTTGATTTCTTGACTGCCCAGATCGATAATAATAGAATTACAAATCGACATTTAAGGAAAGTTGAATGGACAGACTTTTACATTTATTGAGAAGAAAACTCAATCAATTGATCTTTGGAAACGGGAAATCTGGCCGATTCTTTTGGTGAGATCATTTAACCTGGGTAACGTCGAGTTACCTTACCGCCAATAAACTGTAGCCAATGAAAAACATGAGACAACGTTTGCGAAGATAACAAAGACTGATTCCTGGAATAATTCCTTTTTTCCACTGTTAATTGTTTCAGTGCAAAATTGCAAGCAGATTAATGTCGTTTCGGAAAAAAAAGAAGGTAAAAACCACATTTTTTCTTTAAAGAACCAAAAAAAAAAAAAAAAAAAAAAAGAGCAAAACATTTACCAGAAAACACACGCATAAAAAGGTAAATAAAAATATAGACAATGGGTCCTTCGTGAAGCGTCAGTTTGAAAGGAAAAAAAAAATAATCCAAGAAAAATGATGTTCGTCATTAAATAATAAGGAGATTAGTTTTTATGACGTGGACGCGTGTCGGACGAAATTAAGGAAAGAAAAGAAAAAAGACATTAAAAGACTTACTTTTTTGCGTCAGGAGTTAATTCGTATAGCGGCAAAAGAAAATACCAAGAAAAGATAACTCACTTATATACCGATCATCCTTCTTCAAAAGAGAACAAACAAAAGGGTCATTAAAGGTATTGAGAATACATACATACATCATATATATATATATATATATATATATATATATATATATATATATATATATATATATATATATATATTGGATAACAGGACTTTTTAGGTATGTGATGTGATAAGTATTAGACAAAATGTGCGTTCATAGTAACTGAAGGGACTTTATCCGCGTATTAGATAAAATCGATTAGCACAAACTATCCTCGATGATGGACGACTGTAGAATCGATCCCTATCTGATCGTTATTTTATGCTATTGACAAACGTTTGTTAATTGTATATTTCTCTTTGTGTTCTAACTTTTATGGGCAAGACATCTTTCCTTATTAATCGCCTTCAGTCTATAAAGATATGTCGACAATTTCTCTTCGCACATTCCTTGCTTATATATTTAATGTTTAAAGACTGACTTTATCTCCTGAATGGACTCCTGTAAACGTTTCACATTTATCTGGTTACCCCTTGAAAATTTGCCTTAATTATCAGTCTCCATTATGATGTTTCTGTTTCTGTATCTCTGTGTGTTTGTTACCCTTATCGTAGTTCATGCAATACGGGCAGTGTGGTGGATGACAACGCGTAATGTGTAATCGTCGAGCCGAGTTCGAATTCCAGGTTTGTCTATTAGGTTCACGTTCCTACAAATCTGTCTTTTCTCAATCCAGCTGGAGATAGCCTAACCCTATTTTTTTTTTTTTTTAAAGAAATGAATTGATAGTTACGTGTTGATCTAAAAGTAAATATCTTTTAAAATAAGTCGATCCAAATTAATTCTTATTGTAAATTATAAACTTTCCTTTTTATATTCTTCGGTTCATTTATCTAATGCCGAGCATATACAATTCTTTTTAGATTCGTTTATTTTAATAAAAAATACAATTAATCTTCGTTTCTTTTAAAACATAATATAAAATTAAAAAAAAATCTTTTAAAACATAATATTAAATTAAAAGAAATATTCTTTTAAAACATAATATAAAATTAAAAAAACATATTCTTTTAAAACATAATATAAAATTTAAAAAAATTCCTGTTTATTCTAATTATAAAACATAAATCCCGATTATATTAAATACAAAATATTCTTTTTTTTTGCATTTATAATAGGTTTCTAATACTATATATTTTTTATGTTATTAAGTCAGTTTATTTTTATATTAATAAAAAAGACAGTAACCACGCTTTATATTTAATATAAAATGTAAATCTCAACTTCAAATACAAAATATGTTTTTATATAATTTTAGGTTCGCCTACATTAATATTTTTTTAA